GGGGGGGAGATTATCATTCATGTTTCCCTAGAACCACAGGACTTAGGAACAGAAATGAATGAGTTAAATCTTTGTTGAATCTTTAATGTCAGGTAGATTCTCAAGGGATTTGAAAAATAAAAGTATTCTTATGCTTGAGGGATTTAGAATAATAAATTTAAGGGGCCAAGACAAACAACCAAAAATCAAATACACGGTACAAGGGTAGAACCAAGTAAGTTTTATGGGAGTTCAGAAAAGTGATAAATTCCTTCTGTCAAAGGTGGTTTTTTGGTGGTTGTTTTTTTAAAATCCTCACCCTAGGATATTTTTCCATTGATTTTCAGAGATAGTAGAAGGGAGGGATGAAGAGAAAGAGAGAGAAAAGAGAGAGACATAGATGTGAGAGAGACATATCAATTGGTTGCCTCTTGCACACACCCTGACCAGGGCCGGAGATCAAACCTGGTGCCCTTGACCAGGAATCGAACCCTTGACCCTTTGGTGCTCGGGCCAGTGCTCTAACCACAGAGCCACACCAGCCAGGGCAAAGGTGCTATTTTCAGAGGACCTTGTCCAAGACTAGGCTTTACAGGACTCACGAGATGTAGGTAGGAGGCTAGAAAAGGAAGGCTGTTCTCGACAGGGACAGCGGAGGGAACAAGCCTGTGGAGCTGGGAGAGCCTAAGAAATATGTGGGTGATGGAGAAGTGACCACTTTGGCTTAGTGAAAAAATGGAACCTTGGGGACAAATTGAGGAAAGGTAGTTGCAAGTGAAGATTGTGAACTTCAATGTTTAAATACTTAGAAATAAGCCATAAATATGATGCATTGGAAACCTGGAAATGTAAATCACGTAAGAGCTTTGTATCCCTCCTAGTAACAGTTTCTTCATGCTAACTGTCTTCCAGGCAGAGACCTAGTAGGAGGCCTATTTGTGAAATAGGACAAGTTGGAGAGACAAGTAGGACAGACGTGGTGCGGGAAGGTTTGCCTGGCCCTGACGACCAGTCAGTGTGACAGAGAGAGGCAAAGATGATGATTTAGCTCTTGGGTGACCAGGAGGATTGTGAAGATGACACCTGCCATCTTCTCCTTGCCCAATGACTTTTATTTTATTTTATTTATTTTATTTTATTTTATTTTATTATTTTATTTTATTTTATTTTATTAATAAATATGTCTTTATTGATTTCAGAGAGAGGAAGGGAAAGGGAAAGATAGTGATAGAAACATCAATGATGAGAGAGTTATTGATCGGCTGCCTCCTGCACGCCCTCGACTGGGGATCGATCCCACAACCCGGGCATGTGCCCTGACCGGGAATCGAACCTCCGTCTCTTGGATTCTAGGTCGATGCTCAGCCTCCGAGCCATGCCATCCAGCCTTGCCCAATGATTTTTGTGGTTAGAAAGTCCTAACTTCCTCTCCTCCGCCTGATGATGATGTAACAAGTAACCACATGAATAAACTTTCAATGAGAATGATATCTAGCAATATAAAGAGCAAATCAACAGGATCATGTTCCTAAGGACTAAAATGCTCACTACCTAGAACTAGGTTTGGCGCTTCCAGGCACCAGGCTCTGTGCCAGTCACGAAGGAAGGACATGGTGGTGGACAAGTCATAGGCCACCACCTCAAGGGATTTACAAGACTCCAGTTATGAACAGAGAAATCAGCAGGTGACTTTAACCCTTTGGGGTCGTATTAAATTTGGACATGGGTGTCGTACTGGTCGGAATTAATTTCCATTGAAAGAGCACTGATACATAACATGCAAGATTATGAAGGATAAACAAGAGAAATTACGAACTGATACATGAATGGAGTTAAGATTCGTACGGTTCCTTGCTGTGGTGGCTGAGAGCAGACATACAACCGGAACGGTAAAAAAGCTTTGGTGGTTGAGAGTAGACAACCGCAAAGGGTTAATATGATTGAAATGTCACGAACAGTAGGGCGAGATTATGTATCCGCCCTTGTCTGGGATAGTCTCGATTGGATAACTGATATTAATTTCCTAGTTGCAGGACGTAGGGCTAATACACAACCTGAGGGCACATGCAGGCAGAACATTTAATGCAGCATGTGGTGTGGGGTCACAGCGGGCTTCGTGGAGGAAATGTCCCAGCTGATCCCTGCAGGCTGCACAGGGCAAGGGCTGCAGAGAGGGCTGGGGAGGAAGGCAGGGGTGCAGAAAGTGGGAAGGTGGGCATCCCAAGCGGTGTGTGCAGGCTGAGCGGATGAGTTAGTGACCATATAAGCCACTGTGAATGTGAAAACTCATAGGACACTTCAATTCCTAATGAAGCAGCTATCATTTGACGTTTATGCACAAGAACATTTCTTCCAGGTCTTGGAAGGGAAATTTGGTGAAAAGTGGAGTTTTACTCTATTTCTAAAGTAAAGATATTGGACTGCATGGTATCTATTTTCCCTTGTAGCTTTACCGTTCTATTGCATAAGACCCCACCCCAAACTACCAGCCCCTGGAGACTGAGAAACAGGCCTTAACGCCCTCCTGATTGACCCCTTCCTCCCAAGGCAGCCACTTGATTATTGCTCACATATTCTAGTCCAGTCGATTTTATTTCTGCAGCTCAGTGGAAAGCTTTCGGAAGGCGGAGGCCATGCCACTCCCTTGTAGCTCTCGCTCCGCACATACTGGCTGGTGGGGATTTGGGAGATTGTGGGGAGGAGGGAGAGGAACCCTTTCTTTTTTGGAGAGAGGGAGGAGGGATCTCATCCCTATTACAAACGCTCTTTCTTAAGCAGCTTTCCAAGGCATTTTAATGGTGACTATAAATTTTTTTGTTAATAGTTTTTGAACTTATTTTTGATGGGCATCTTGCTTTCCTCTTGTTTAGGACCTTCCGAGTTATTGGATATGGCTGACAGCGAAACGTGAGTGTTGTTTTAGTGTGGCTTATTAGCGTCGCTAATTCCGTAGCCCAGACTGTTCTTCAGAACATATCTAGGAGAAGAGTGCAGCGTCTGAGGCACACAGTGGGTAATTTTCTTGTCAGTGATTTAAAAAAATCCACTTTCAATTGTATTTATAACTGTGCAGGGCTAATCTTCTAAAATTACACAATAAAAGTTGATGGCAAGTGTCGTAATGTTGCCCACACATCATTGCTTTGCTATTAATCGTTTGGAGATTCCTACAGGCAAGGCATGTCTACACTGGTGCGTCTTGGACTGCTGAGAAGTCTGAACAAATACATTCACCTAGGGTTTGCAAGAAAATGAAGCCCCAGTGCTCTAAGCCATCTTTGCATGTCATGAAACTTCTTTGCTGAGCCTAGAATGGAACAATGTCTGTAATACAACCACTGGAGAGCCGAGAACGTGGGAACCCCAGTCACTTTCATGTTCTGAGGTTCAGATGAGAATCTGGGATGATCCCCAAACTGATAATGGGTTTCAACTTTCCTCCCCTCCTAGGGTAGCGAAATAGCTCCTACTCCCCATACAGGAAGAAAGAGGCTAAACATCTAACCCCGAAAGCCATAGAGAACCCCAAAGAAATCCAAAAGGGAATAAAGAATGGGCAGGGCTGGAATGGGTGGGAGTGGGGAGTGGAAGTGGGGATAGTGGAGGAAAATTGGAAATGAAAAGAATGAAGGACTGGGGGGAGGG